ACCACCAGCCGTTGCAGTCACTTGAGGAATGAATCATTGGACAGAAGATCTTCCTCTCTGTAAATCTGACTTCACAATAAAAATAAATAAATTTTAAATAAAGTAAAAAGGGCTTCAAATGTGTAAAGATGTGTTCTCAAATTCTGAACTTACGGTGCCTGGTGAGGATAAGGGTGACCTTCTACAGTGCAATTCCCATGAAAAGGAAGGGAAACCCAGAGTGTCCAGATGGGTTCAAGATCACTTGTGGTCCTTGTACACAAACATTTTTGTACATGTGGGCATTAGCATGGGGAGCAATCCATGATTGATGAATCTAGCCCCTCACAGGCTGTGATATACTCGAGATTAAAATATTGCAACGCTGCTGCATTTGAGCTAGCGAGTGGTGAGCACTGAGTGAGCAAGGGACATTGAGAGAAATAAAGAAGGGTGTGATCAAGTGGGCGGCAGGGAGAGGAGTTCAGGTAACACTGAACTGTGTCCAGTGTGGAGGTTGAGTATGGGCTCTGGGCTTGAGTTCCAGCCTGCCATTAGCAGCTGTGGGGCTGGTCTGAGTGTGGCTGACCCACCCAGAGGCTTCAGACAGGGTTCTGTGCTAAGTCAGAGTACCAACAAGAACTTGCTTACTCATCTGGAGCTAGCGCAGAACCTGGGGGGGAAGGACAGTGTTGTTACAGAAGTTCAACTTGGAGGGATAAAGCTGAAACCAAGGAGCAACCTCCATCTCCATTCTGCGTCAGGGAAGCTCACGAAAGTGGTTAGCATCCGCTTCTTCATTCCTTGCTGTTTTTGTTTATCCCTTTCCCCCACCCCATCTATTGCCCCATCTTGAGCAGCAAGGAATTTCCTCCATGCTGTAGTGGGAGGGTTCTGGGGAGTGGGGACAGAAAGACTGGTTGCTGAGGAAACCATATTTCCTGGGAGGAAGCAGAGAACTCCAAAGGAACAGAGCCGGTGATGGAGGCTTCGAAAGGAAAGGGAAACGGTTTTTGGTGGCAAGAGAAAAAAACTTGGAGAAGAGCAGCTCTGGCTGTGATTAGGGTTTATTACACTCCTTACTACGCATGGGTCAGTTTCAAAACTTGTGTGATCTTAGCAATTATCATCCTTGGCCAACAGCTCCTAAATCACCCCAGTTTAGTTGTATAATCTTTTACAAAATAAAAAAGACATGGACCTGGCGTGGTAGCCTAGTGGCTAAAGTCCTCGCCTTGCACACACCCGGATCCAGTATGGGTGCTGGTTTGTGTCCCAGCAGCTCTATTTCACATCCAGCTCCCTGCTTGTGGCCTGGGAAAGCAGTCCAGGACAGCCCAAAGCTTTGAGACCTTGCACTTGTGTGGGAGACCGTAAGAAGCTCCTGGCTCCTGGCTTCAGACTGGCTCTGTTCCAGCCATTGTGGTCACTTGTGAACCATTGGATGGAAGATCTCTCTCTTTCTGTCTCTCCTCTTCTCTGTATATCTACCTCTCCAATAAAAATAAATAAATGTTGAAAATTGCTTGAAAGACTGAGTGAAAAATGATAGAGGATTTTTTTTGTCCACTGGTTCACTCTCCAAATTTCCTGGATCTGGGCCAGCCTGAAACCATGTGCCAGGAATTGCAGACACATCTCCCACAAAGGTGCAGGGCCAACGTCTATTTCTCAGGCACCTTAGCAGGGAACTAGATCAGGATTAGAACAGCCAGGACTCAAAACACTGCTTGCATATGAGATGCCATTATAGGAAGCAGCTTAACCCACTGTGCCTCAGTGCCAATCCTTACATATACTTTTCAAAGTTTTCCCATAACCAGGGTGATGTCAAGGTAACAAACCCTGGAAAGGAGCAGGCTTGGGAAGAAACACAGTAACTGTTACATGGGCTTGTCATACTTCATATGTCTGTGTAGCCAATTTCCAGCAGCAGATACTGATACTAAGAACATTTCTTGTTCCAGGTCACAAGGAACTTTGTTTCCCAGTCTGATGTAACTAAAACCTTGTTAGATGACTTTCATGATCACAAATGCTACCTCCCAAAAAAGTAGTAAGACATGAGAAAATTTGCAAAAGACCAGACAAGCAGTGCGAGAAAAAACCAAGATCTCAGCCCACACAGCATAATGTCAAGTTTTCAGTCCGATGGGACATGAAGAGGTCCATTCCAGTTTGCAGCTGGACACTGTGACGACCCCTATCGGCCACAACCGTGCATACTCCCAGGCCCAGTGTTCTCCAGTCTGAAGCCTAAAACCCTGAGGTTTAAGAGAAACAAGTGTTCCTTGCACAAGAGCATTGCCCTCCACATTTGTCACCTGCTATACCAGCAGTGCCATATGATCTGTGAGAGCTGCCAGGAAGGCAGCATCTGCCCTCTGCCTTGTGCCACCCGTACAGATGGCTGTGGGAGACAAGACGCTCTGCACTGCGACTGGTAGGAACAGCTGAGCAGCCAAAGCTGCCGGTGGCTATAGCCTCCCATGTGGGTTAGGAACCCTTCCACAGTAAGTACAGGCCTAAATCAGTCTCCAGAGGCCGGAAAAGCTCACTGGTAGTGTTTCTAATTGTCACAGCAGGACAATTAGGCACCATGTCCCATAAGATGATTTGTTTTTTTTAAAGATTTATTTTATTTTTTATCAGAACATCAGATGTACAGAAAGGAGGAGAGACAGAGAGAAAGATCTTCTGTCTGATGATTCACTCCCTAAGTGACTGCAATGGTCAGTGCTGTGCCAATCCAAAGCCAGGAGGCAGGAACTTCCTCTAAGTCTCATGTGGGTGCAGGATTCCAAGGTTTTGGGCTGTCCTGGACTGCTTTTCCAGGCCACAAGCAGGAGCTGGATGGGAAGCGGGGCTGCCAGGTTTAGAACTGGTGCCCATATGGGATCCTGGTGCGTTCAAGGAGAGGACTTTAGTCGCTAGGCCACTGCGCCGGGCCCCCATAAAATTATTTTTACTCCTAAATTATTACAAATAATTTTTGTCTCTCACCAATAAAAAGCCTTGCATGTTATTTTATTTAAATATTTATTTATTTATTTATTTGGAAGACAGATATACAAAGAGAAGGAAAGACAAAAAGATCTTCTATCATTGGTTTACTCCCCTAGTGGCTGCAATGACCAGAGCTGAGCTGATCCGAAGGCAGCTGCTAGGAGCTTCCTCAGGGTTTCCTGTGTGGTTACAGGGTCCCAAGGATCCTTGACTGCTTTTCCAATCTACCATAAAGGAGCTGGATGGAGAGTGGAGCTGCTAGGACACAAACTAGTCCCCGTATTGGATCCTGGTGCTTGCAAGGAGAGAATTTACCCACTAGACTACCATGCTGGGCCAAGGTTTGCAGAAAGCTAAAATAGGTCACATGGTGTAGTGACAATTTGAGAATATCACAAACCTACACCTGGAGCTGACAATCCAGTAAGACAAGGGGATTGTCAGGCCCAAAGGGAAAATGTGTTTTGATAAATTTATTTTAAAATTTATTTTATTTAAATTACACAGAGAAGGCCCAGTGTCGTGGCCTAGCGGCTAAAGTCCTTTCCTTGAATGCACCAGGATCCCATATGGGTGCCGGTTCTAATCCCGGCAGCTCCACTTCCCATCCAGTTCCCTGCTTGTGGCCTGGGAAAACAGTCGAGGACGGCCCAAAGCCTTGGGACCCTGCACCAGCATGGGAGCTCCAGAATAAGCTTCTGGCTGCTGGCTCTGAGCTTTGGATCGGCTCAGCTCTGGCCACTGCGGCCATTAGGTGAGTGAATCACCAGACAGAACCTTCTGTCTCTCCTCTTTGTACATCTACTAACATGCACATGAAATATATCCAAGGCCGGTGGCATTGTGCTATATAGCACCACCTCAACTGGGGCCATCCGTTTTGCTTTTCCAGGTGCATTAGCAGGGAGCTCGATGGAAAGTGAAGCAGTCGAGGCTCAAAACTGCTGCTCATGTGGGATGCTGGCATCACAGGCTGTTACTTAACCTGGTGTGCCACAAGGGTGTCCTGGCCACAGGTTCTTAAGCAATACATACACTAACGGAACACCACCCCGGAAACTGCTCTGGTGGTCCAGATCCCGATTGGTGTGGTCCACAGGTACAACAGCTGCCTGGCCCCTTGGAACGTCTGGCTGTAGGCTCCAGTCAGCTCTGTTGTTTTCTCAGACCAGCCTCTCTGCCTGCACAGTTTACCTGGAAGAACTGAACCAAGAGCCTCCATCTTAGGGGTCCTGTGTCCCCAAGCGCAGGCCAAACTTTCAGACCAGCCCACTGAGGCTGGTCCCTGCCGGGGCGTCGAATGGGGCATGGGGCCGCTCGCTGGCTGTCCCTCACCAGTCATATTCTTGCTGACGTAGGGAGTCCCTCTCTAAGCAGGCGCCACTCCTGCAAGCCGACTGTGCAGTTGTGGACTCTCAGAGGCGGTTTTGAACCCGGAGCACAGTGGCAGGTAGCTCGGACAGACCCGCAGCTTCCTGACAGATTCTCCCTCGCCCTCACCATCCACCCTTCCGGCGTGCCTTCCTGTCCAGGGCCAGCCCTACGCGCCCTCAGAATGGGTGCTGAGGCCACGCCGCCCTCCCGGCAACCACTGCCACCCACCCGGGGCCCTCGCAGGGGCTCCGGTCCCCGCGCGCAGACGTCCCTCTAGAGTTACCCCCCAAGTCTCCAGACGCCCACATGGAGCTGATTTCTGAGGAGACAGAACATGAGGGCACGCCCAGCAGGAGCTGGAACCTCCCGGGGAATCGCCGACCGCCTCAGACCCCACGCACACCGCGCCGGGACCGTGGGCGGACAGCTGCGCCGCACGTGACCACCCACTCAGCCTCCCTTCCGCCCTTTTGACATGGGGCGGGACCTCAAGGGGCGGCCGAGGCGTGATTGGCCGGAGGGCGTGGCCGGCGGCGCGCGCGCGGAAGGAACCAGCTGTGGGCGTGGCCAGAAGAGCCAGCGGTGGCTGCGATTGGCCCGGAGGCGTGGCCTCCGGCGCTGGCCGCGAAGGTGGGGGCGCCGGGGCCGCTCGGCGTGCACCTGAGCCGACGCCCCTGGTGCGTGAAGCTGCGCCTCCACGGTCGCCTTTGCCCGCCGCCATGAACCGCTTCAAGGTGTCTAAGTTCCGGCACACAGAGGCCCGGCCGTCCCGCCGCGAGGTGAGCCCAGCCCTCAGGCCCCTCGCTCCCTGGCCCTGTTAGCGGCCACCGCCCTCCCTACGGCCCAGGCTCTCCGGGACCGGCGACCCTCCTGCTCTGGGGCGCTCCCTTCAGGCCGGGGAGCCCCCTACACCGGCGTCCCAGTCGCCCCGTCGCCCCGTCGCCCCAGGGATGGCAAAGAGGAAACTCCCCATGGTGCGCTCCGGCCATTCGGGCAGCTGTCTGCTCCGCCCTCTTGCCCCGGGACCCTTACTGTGGCGCAGCCCTCCTGCCGGGACGGAGGCCTGAAGCCTAGGAGTTCTCCTGTCTTCCTGGCTTCCGGTTGTCCTTGTGGAGCCGTGGCGGCTCTAACACCCTCCCCCCCCCCCCCCGGAGCCCCGGGGCGAGGTGCGTCCCGTCGGACAGCCATCTAGAAGGGGCCCCCCTGAGCCTCATGCGCGTCCCTCCTTCTGGTTTCCGCTGGCGCTTCCTCTTCGTTGCTGAGAGCTCTTCCCTTCCTGGGGTGATGCTGCTGGTGGCTGGCTGGGTGGAGCTCAGAGGAAGAGCCCCTGGCATCCCCCAGGATAGCGGCCCTGAGTAGGGGTGTGCTTCGGGGATGATGCTACTAGCCCTGGCCTGCTGCCCCCTGTGTCATTGTGTTCAGAGGGTCAGGGAACTGACCTCTGGTGACCCCGTTAGCAGGCCAAAACAAACCCAGGCAACCTGGGGGCAGAGACAGCTTTCCATCAGTATGGCATGTTTTCTCTGCACTTACTGGGTGCCGGGTGGAGCAGCTGGAACTGCCATGGTGACAACGACAGCGTGTTCCCTCCCCCCTGGCACCAACAAGCAGACACCAGCCCCTTCAGTCAGCACATTGAAGAACACACAGGAGGGGGCTGGGATGGGAAATGGTGAGTGAGGGTTAATGTTAGTAGATCAGGGAAGGCTACTTGGAGGAGGATGAGAGGTCCACTCGCAGCCAGGACCACAGGGAGGGACCGCTTCAGACAGATTTGTTTTGTCAGGGAGGGGGAAGATCCGCAGAGCTGCTCTACTTTTCAAAGGTGTTTCCTGTCACTGTGTATGTATGTGCCCACAGCTGGTGAATACTGGAATAGAAACTTGAGGTGGCACAGATGGTTTCCAGCTGCTGCGGTGATGGGCTGGGAAGTGGGGTGCTCCCTCACCGGGAGGGTGCGGGTGTGGGTGGGGAGGAGTGTTCAGTGCTGTCTAGTGGTGCCTTGTCTACACAGGAAACCTGGCATTTTTCTGTGTTAGTTGCAGGACCAGCGGACTCTGTGCTTTCCAGTGATTGGGTCGGTTGCAGAGTGGCCTGTCTGTGCTTGTGGCCTTCATGCGTCCCTGGGGACAAGGTGGCCTGTCCTTGGTTCTACCTGCTCTGCCCTCCAGAGCTTGGAGTAGGCACCTGTTGAATATGTCCAGTGCTCACCTCTGCTTTCTCCGCTTCCTGTCCTTTCCTGCCCTGGACAGGTCACCTGGTAGCTTGCTGACTTCGCTTGCCTGTATTAGGGACTGTCTTCAGCGAAGCTCTACCCTCTTTTGCCTGCATTATCTTTTTGAGAACATCTTGTATACATTTTCCCTTTTTTAAATCATCTCTTATTTATTGGAAAGGTGGGGAGGCACAGTTCTTCCATCCACTGATTTGTTCCTGCACACCATGCTGGAGCTAGGCCTTGCCAGAGCCAGGAGGTGGCAGCTTGGCAGAGGCTTGAATACTTGAGTCATCAACTTCTATCTTCTAGTGTGCTTGCTAGCAGAAAGTAGAGCTTGGACTCCCTGCCGGGCATTCCAGCATCCCAAGTGTCAACTAATACACAAAACGCTCATCCTGCATTTATGTTTTTTTTAGGGCCTTCCTAAGAGGCAGGGAACAGGGTTAGATCCTAAGGAACTCAGATAGTGTAACTAGTTCCGTTTCTTGGGGCGTGAACAAAGCCCTGACTGTCACCACACCTTTCTTCTTATGCCCAGGCCTGGATCTGTAACATTCAAGCAGGGAGCACCCCCTCCAGTGGGAACAGTATCAAATCCAGCTGCAGCTTGATTGCCTTCAACGTTGACCGTCCAGGTAGGGGTTCGGAGTTAAGGAATTTCAGGCATCATTCAGGCCTTGCTGGCTGGACCCTAGACCAGACTACAAGCTGGTCATTGTGCAGTAGTACATGTATTCTGATGAGTCTGATGAGAGTATGTGTGGATTTAAGCCATGTTGGCCATGGTCTTCAAAAACATGGTTGGGAGTGCAGGCTGGGGCCTGGGGCTTTTGTTTCCACCCATTGCCATGTGCCTCCCCCCTGCTCATCTGTGGGCCTGTGGGCAGCTGGGGTCCATGGGACTTAATGAAAAGGAAAGCCCATACCATACAGTGAGCTTCCCTCCATGGCTTGTGCTGCTTAGCTCTGAGTCCAACTGCAGGAATCCCAGTGTCTTGTCTGACCTCGAGCCCCAGGCTCAGATGCCCCATGGACCCCCACCTGATTCTGTTGCCTATGGGGTTGGCTTAATTCTCAGGTAGAGGTAGAAGGCACAGTCCCAAGCTGTCATCTTGGGATAGACAACCCTTTTGCCCTACCCCCACCTGGATCTTCTACACACGCCCTTGCTGGCGTTTTCTGCATGGGGCAAGAACCCAGCCCTGGGCTCCAGAGGGATCTTCTGTGTGGTGTACAAGTTCCAGGGCTGAACTGCTGGGACTCAGCTCCTCATGGAGCCTTGGACAGGGAGGTAGGCACTCCCTGAGAGCGGCCAAGTCAGACCTCCCTGCTCCTCTCTCCCGTGTGTACAACAGGTGTGCTGGGCATCGTGCCTTTGGAGGGCCAAGAAGCAGACAAGAAACACGTGGCCCATCTGGGCTGTCATTCAGGTGAGTGGATGTTGGGCCCAGGAAGCCCAGAGCTCCTTCCCTGTCCCAGACCAGGATTCACACTCACGTGGGACCCCAGCCCCATGGTTTTCCAGGCCCTTCCTGTTCTCTACACTGTGCTATTCCACCTGGCTGCAGGGAAAGACAACTGGAAGCTCCATGTTGTGAAGCTGGGCAAGGGGAACCCGCAGTGACCAGACCCCATACTGAAGCCAGCTGCTGGTCTGCCTAGGACTCAGCCCTGTGTGGCTCTTAACTCCTTTCCTGAAGCCCAGCAAGTTCTCCCCCACCCCCACTCCACCAGGCATCCACCAGCCAGGCTACTCAAGGCCTTCCAAGGAGGCATCTGTGCTGGGCTGAGTGCCGGAGATGGGCCTTACAAAGGGGGCTTTTGTCTGCTGCAGCTGCTTCTGGGGGTGCCCAGCAGCCAGCCTGGCCGCCTGCCCGCTCCCAGGAACAGTCTGCTCTCCCGGACTGAGGCTGCATGTGCACCCCTCCCCCGCCCTGCCGTCCTGTGGGCCCTGGCCGCGTGTGCCCGTAGGCCTTGGAGTGAGGGAAGGGAGTGGGTCCTGGGTCCTTAGGCCAGTTTAGTGGTTCTGGGGACAGTGACGCCAGTGGTTAGTGACGGCAGTGAAGGTTCCTGGAATCCTGTCCATGTTGGAAGGAGCTTGTTGACATGACTATTGAGGCATTGTCGGATACCTGCCATGACATCTCCTGTGTGAGTGGATGATTTTGGTGACAGTGCAGGGTTGTGTCCCCTCCCAGCCCCTGAGCTCAGTGCCCTCTGGCAGCTGTGGCAGGGACAGAGGCCTGCAGCCTGCAGTCAGGACCAGGCCCCATGCTGCCTGTTTCTGTGAAGAGCTGTGTACCTAGCAGTTCATGCTGCAGCTGCACATGTAAGGCTGTGGTGGCCCTCAGCTCTGCATTAAAAAAGAAATATATATATATATATGTATTTATTTATATTGGAAAGAGTGACAAAGAGAGCCTCTGTCTGCTTGTTCACTCTTCAAATAGCTGCAAAGACCAGACTTGGGCTGGGCTGAAGCCAGGCGTTTCTTCTGGTCTCCCACATGCACTCAGGGGCCCAAGCACTTGAGCCGTCCTCTGGGGCTTTCTCCGATTCATGAGCAGGGAGCTGGATGGGAAGTGGAGCTGCTGGGATACTAACCAGTGCCCATATGGAATGCAGGTGCTGCTGGTCGAGGGCTAATATGCTATACCATAACAACAACCTTGAAACTCTGAAATTTCTGCAGGGAGTGTTTGTTGCTTCTGCCCCACCGATTGACCTTTTCTAGGCATTTTTCATCAGCAAAACCATCTGTGGCTTCTTTGATACTGGCTCCTGTTCCTTTGTGTAATGTCCTAAAAGTTCCTCCAGGCTCAGCACACTTGGGAATTTACTGGAGTCCACATAGCCAGAGTCAGAATCTGGGTGTTGGGGCGGCACTTCCCCAGTAGAAACTGGCCCAGGCATGTGTGGGCTGGCTGTCGTCTTGGTGTGACTGCAGCTTTTCTCAGCCTGGCCAGGAGGCTGCTCTTGGAAGTGGCTGAGCCACAGCTCCCAGGGACTTTGCTGCAGAGGGGCCAGGTGCTGTTCCACCCTTGTTGGTGCACAGAGAGTGAGAGGGCCTGGAGTGGCTGGGCGCTAGCTGCTGCCTTGCACTTGAGCATCCTGCTTTTGGGGTGGAGGGTGGCAGTGATGGAGAGCAGTGGGATTGTGGTTCTGATGTGAGAGCTGTGCAAGTAGCAGCTGGGGCTTTTACCAGGGGAAGTTTCTGAGTCAGCACAAGTGCTGCTTGACCCTGAACCTGGTTGTGCAACCCTGGACAAAGTTCTTAACCTCATCTGGCCTTTGGGGAGGAGGCTGCAGTGCCTCCTGCTGGTCACTGCAGGGATTCAGTGAGATGCAAGTGTGCAAAGAACTTAGAGGCCGGACACTCAGATTACTCAGTGTGTGAGTGCCTTGTCACTCTGATGTCGCGATGCCAGGCTGCCCAGGCTGGTGGCTGCCTGGGTGGCAGGGCTTCCACAGCTCTAGGCCCAGGACTGCCATGATCCTGTGGCTGAAAGTGCAGGCAGAGACCCTCGCTGGGACTGTCTGTCCCTGTCTGCCCGCATTTCTTCCTGTCTCCTCTGGCTTGGAGAAAGACATTTTCTGTGTCTCACTGGGAGGCGGTGGCAGGGGATGGTGGCTGTGCTGCTGCTCTGGTAATGTAAGCTTGTGGTCATATTCACACTGTCCTTACTCCAATACCCTCAGCCTTATTGGCTTTGGGCTCTGGCTCACTGAACGAACACCCATACCAGCTCACTTAAACTGAAAAGAACTTTCCTGGGCAGCTCCTAGGGATTCCTTGACTGAGGAGGAAGTGGCCATGTGGCCTCAAGAGGCTCCAGCTGACGACTGTGTTCCTGAGGTGCCAACGAATCCCAGGAGCTCCCTGGCAGCCTGACTCTGTGGCCTTTAACTAGAGTGGGTCAGTGGGCTCCCAGGGATGTGTGCCCTGGCCTTCAGGATCCTCAGCTGGCTCTTTGTGGCCAGTGCTGCCACCTCAGAGCCCTGGGCATTTAGTCCCTGTCCTCGGGGGGGACTGCAGGGGCTGGGAAAATGGTGTTCAGGCAAGCTCAGCTGTTCCTCCTGTGCCATAGACCTGATCACGGACCTGGACTTCTCACCGTTTGATGACTTTCTTCTGGCCACAGGCTCTGCCGACAGGACGGTGAGTAGAGCCACTTGGAAGGGTGCTGGCCATGTTCCACCCTCTGCCTTGTCTCAGGTCAGGGATCATGAGCTCCCCAAGTTCTGTTCCCATTCCTGCCCTTCAGGCCCTTCTCTGGCTCTTGGCTTCCTGGGGCACAGGTAGGACGGGACCACAGTGCCTCCTGCTGGGCCTTCAGTGAGGCTTGTGTGCAGAGAAAGCTCCCAGGGCTGGGCCAGCACCTAAGCTCTGGATCCACACCGGCTCCCCAGTGTGCACAGCCTGAGGTTGTGGTTGTGAGATTGCCCTGGGGCAAGGATGATGGGGTGGGATAGGAGGCTGCAGGGGCCAGCCAGTACAGGGCGCCTTCCCCACCAGCCCCTGTCCATTCCGTATGACCCCTGAGTTAGTTTTGCTTCCTTGTTCCCTGTGACCTGGCCCTGGCTGCTGCCAAAGTGGGTGGGACACCGCTCCAAAAGCCTGGGGAGTGGTGCCGAGCCTGTGGAGCAGCCTTGTTCCAGCAGGGTGGTCTTGTGGGTTGTGGGTCACAGACTGTTTTTTGCCACAGGTGAAGCTCTGGCGCCTGCCAGGTCCTGGCCAGGCCTTGCCCTCGGGGCCCGGGGTGGTGCTGGGTCCTGAGGAGCACCAGGTGGAAGCCCTGCAATTCCACCCCACAGCTGACGGCATCCTGGTGAGCGCAGCGGGAACAGCCGTGAAGATCTGGGACGCCACCTCGCAGCAGCCCCTGACAGGTGCAGTCTCCCCAGCCTGCCTGCCCATGTTGGGGCAGCCCATCTTGGTCAGCACTTTTCCTTGGTGGTAGTGGTGCAATGTGGCAAGGTTGTGTGCACCTTGGTCTTGTGGGCTGTTCGTAGATGCTGCCCACTCTGTTCCCCACTGCACCTGCCCCCTTCTCTTAGCTGTCACTTTTCTGCACTTTTCCCACTAACTTCCTGGCACTCCAACTTCTTCAAATTCTTTCCCATTTTTTTTTTTACAAATATTTATTTATTTTATTGGAAAGGCAAATATACAGAGAAGAGGAGAGACAGAGAAGAAGATTTTTCCATCCACTGATTCACTCCCCAAGTGGCCACAATGGCCGGTGCTGTACCCATCCGAAGCCAGGATCCAGGAACTTCTTTCCGGGTCTTCCACACAGGTGCAGGGTCCCAAGGCTTTGGGCCGTCCTCAACAGCTTTTCCAGGCCACAAGCAGGGAGCTGGAGGGGAAGTGGAGCTGCCAGGATTTGAACCAGTGCCCATATGGGATTCTGGCGCCACAGGAGGACCTTAACCATTATGCTATCACTCCGGGCCCAAATTATTTCCCAGTTTTGAAATCAAATTACTGACTTCCCACCCAGAGGTGAGGATTGTGCTTTCCTTGGTACCCCATCCTTCATGTAGGGCCTTTTTCCCCCTCCTGCCTTCCCAGAGAGGACATCTAAGTGTCTGCACAATTGTGTCTCTGTGGTGATACTATGAACCCATTCACTGGGGACCTCCATCCTGAGATTCCGAGTTGAGGTTCACCCTTGCTCTGGAGGGTGGTGTTGTGTCCAGGCTGGGTGAGGTTCCTGCCCTGGGACTGGGAGCCAGGGTCCGTGCCTTGCCTGAGGGCTGCTGTCAGGTCACCAAGTGTTCCTGAGATGGACAGCATCAGTTACTCTGCGGAGCCCACCCTGGAGGAGCCCTCTGTGGAGTCGGTGGTGTGCCTTGAGGACAGGAGGTATGAGACCCAGGGTGCAGGCTGGGAAGGGCCCCTGGGGGTTCTGGAGCTAACCAGCCCTTCCGTCTGCCTGAAGGAGCTGGCACAGCCTCTGCTGTAGCTTCTCAAGCTCTTTCCACAGGCCTGGTTCCTGAGGCTGTGGACTCTACCAGCCACCTGCCCGTCCATCCGGCAGCAGTTCTGCCAGCTTTGAGCAGGAGAGGCTCAGGGTCCAGTCCCTCAGCCAGGGCCTCGGTGCAGGAGTGACTGAGGTTGAATGAATCCTCAGGGAGCAAAACTCTGTGTGGAACTGATCTCTTGATTTGAAACAAATTGCTCCAAAACATGGGGGCTAAAGCATCTTACAGTATTGATTATCTCACCCATTGCCTAAGGCGCAGGAAGTCAGGAGCTGCTTGGGCAGGTGGCCTTTGCTCAGGGTCTCTGAGTTGCTATCACCTAAGGGCTGGATGGGAGGGGGTGGGAAGGGGCTGCTTCCCAAATGGTTAAGTCAGAGGCGGATGGGAAGCACGAGCTGGTGTCCCTCCTGTGTAGGAGCCTGAGTGACCAGGGAGCGTTGTGCAGCTCACAGCCCTGCCTTGGGACCCTCAGGAGTGGCTCCAGAGTGAACAGGGAGCGCCGTGCGGCTCTCAGCGCAGCCTTGGGAGCCACTCCTGAGGAGGATTATTGCTGACCCAAGTGAGCTGGCATCTGCTGAACGGGAAGGTGTTGGATTCCTGCTGTTATCAGGAGCCGTACACTGGCCAGCGACAGAGTGTTGTCTCGGAGTGCTAGGTGGGGTGGGACTGATTCCTGTTGAGGCCATGCCCTGGGACCTGCTCGAGACTTCTGCCTCCTGTGGCCCCAGGCGTTTTGTGGTTCGTGGCTGGCTGTGCTTGGAGTCTTCAGTGTCTGCCTGCGTTGTTTCTTTGTCTCAGAAGGACACAACTATAAGGTTTAGGGCACACCCAGATAACCTCAGCTTAACTGGACCATCAGCCAAGGTCTGTTCAGAGGCTACTTAAGGTCACAGGTTAGGACAGTGACATCTCTTGGGCAGGACAGGGGGAGGTAGGAGGAATAGAGTTCAACCCATGACAGGTTTCAGGAATGTGTGGATGTATGTGAAAACACCCACACCAGGGAAGTAGAGTGGAGATGACAGGAATGATCTGGTGGGGAGGTGTTGGCCAGAAGCGGTGGAGGTGAGAGCCAAGTGCAGAGCCTGAGTTGAACTGTGGCCTGGAAGAAGTCCCTGGGTGCAGGTGCATCCTGTCTGAGGGGAGCTGCCATCCCTAACCTGCTCACTTCCACCAGAAAGCCTGCCTTGTCAACTCTGCCTTTGCCCCTGGGGTTCCCCCAAGTCAGCTCCCAGCAGCCTCGCTGGTGTCAGCATTGAAGGGACCTGACTTTGCCTGCTTCCCTGCAGAGCTGATGGCCCACGGGGACCTGGTGCAGAGCGCAGTTTGGAGCAGGGATGGTGCCCTCCTGGGCACAGCATGCAAGGTAAGTGGATGACATATAGCCCCTGGCTGTAGGCTCCTGGCTCACCTTCCAGGCTTGGGATTCACGGTGATGAAGATCTCTGCACGTTTGTGTCCTCCCCACCTCATCTGCTCTGCCTCTTCTGCTCCCGCTCCCTGTGAATCCCCGTCTGAGGCAACCCTGGGCTCCTGGTGTGTGTAGTTTGACCACATCCCCGTGCTGGGCCAGCCTCCCCTGCCTGCCTTCCTGGGAGGCTCAGCAGTGTGTATGCAGGGCATGAGCCAGGCCTTGTGCAGGCATGGAGGTGGGGATCAGGTGGGGCAAGTTCAATATTTTAGCATGATGGGTTAAGCTGCTGCTTGCAGCACCAGCATCCCATAGTGGATGGCCAGTTTGAATCCTGGCTGCTGCACTTCCCGTCTAGCACCCTGCTAATGTACTTGGGAAGCAGTGGTTGATGGCCCAAGGTGATTGGGCCCCTTGCACTCACGTGGGAAGCTTGGATGGAGTTCTAGGCCCTAGTCTTGGGCCAGCCGTGCAACCATTCAGGCAATGAACCAGCAAGGAAAGGTCTGTTTTTCCCTCTCATTCTGTCATTCTGCCTTTCAAGTAAACAAATCTTAAAAAAATAGAAGACATGGAGGGAAGAATATTTACCCCCGTGCCCCTGCCCCTGCACAGGGATATGGAATTTGAAGCTGGTCAGACAAGGGCCCAGATGGATAGAGTTCTGAGATCATTTTGGGTCAGGTGGGCCTGGTCCAGGAAGAGATCGCACAGCCTGAAGGCAAAGAGCCAGGCATGTCCAAGCCAAAGCCAGGTGGTGTCCTGCGGGGTGCACGTTTCCCCTGGGGAAGCTCCCTTAGGAGCTGTGGTTTGCAAGTGAGAGCACCTTCAGGGGAGGAAGAGACAGCCTTGGCTTGAGGCGGGAGTGGAGGCAGAGGCATGGGCATCAGAGACCCCTGAGAGCCAAGCTGTTGGTAGGAGGACCAGGAGGTTGTGAGGTTGGTCCTGGCTTGCAGGGGAAGAGGCCCGTGCTGAGATGGGATGTGTGAGTGCTCTCAGTGTGGTCTAGGTATGAGCTGTGTCCCAGATGTGTGCAGGTGGGAGGGGGGCCAGCTTTTTTGTTTGGGACAGAAGCATTTCTTTCTCTATATATTTTATTTATTTATTTATTTATTTTTAAAGATTTATTTTATTTTTATTGGAAAGGCGGATATACAGAGAGGAAGAGAGACAGAAAGGAAGATCTTCCATCCAATGGTTTACTCCCCAAACGGCTGCAATGGCTGGAGCTGAGCCAATCTGAAGCCAGGAGCCAGGAGCTCTTCTGGGTCTCCCACGTGGGTGCAGGGTCCCAAAGCTTTGGGCCGTCCTCCACTGCTTTCCCAGGCCACAAGCAAGGAGCTGGATGGGAAGCGGGGCTGCTGGAATTAGAACTGGTGCCCATATGGGATCCTGGGCCGTGCAAGGCGAGGACTTTAGCCACTACACTATCGTGCCGGGCCCTGTTTATTTATTTTTATATGTTTTTTAAAATGGAAAGTCAGATATACAAAGAGGAGGAGAGATAGTGCATGCCAGGCGAGGACTTTAGCTGCTAGGCTAATGTGGCAGACCCTCTCTATTTTTAAATAAAGTCTTTATTTTTTAATGATACATTTCCTTAGGTTTAGGGATTTCTCATTCCACCCTCTCCTCCCACTGTTTTGCCCTACATTATAACAGTAGTTTAGTTCATCCTTCTGCTAATAAAGAAGCTTTTCTCTGAAACCCCAGGGGGCCCTGGAGGGTTAGAAGTGTAGAATGCAGGGCCCTGCCATGGCCTCACAGCTAAAGTCCTTGCCTTGACCATGTCCAGATCCCATGTGGATGCCAGTTCTAATCGCAGCATTCCCACTTCCCATCCTGTTTCCTGCTTGTGGCCTGGGAAAGCAGTCGAGGATGGCCCAATGCCTTGGGACCCTGCACCCGCATGGGAGACCTGGAAGAAGCTCCTGGCTCCTGGTTTCAGATTGGCTCAGCTCTGGCAGTTGTGGTCACTTAGGGAGTGAACCAGAAGGAAGATTTTCATCTCTGTCTCTCCTTCTCTCTGTATATCTGACTTTGCAAAAAAAGAAAAAGATATATGTATATTTATTTTTTAATTTTATTTTTACTTCTTTTAAAATTATTATCATCATTCTATGATACAGTTCCATAGGTCCTGGGATTTCAACCCTGTCCCCTCCCCAAATCCCTTTCTCCCCCACCAAATTCCCCTATATCATTACTATAGCATAGCTCTTCATAAACAATCACATGTTCATTGCAGGCATGGACAGTGGCAGAGAGTCCAGTATCTATTATAAAGCTAATAGTAGTCCATCTTTGATCTGGAAGTAGAGATGCGTACTCCACTGCATCCTCGCATTTGGACATGATAGTCTCCATTACACAGTCACCACACATCCCTCTTAAATGAAAAGCCACAATACAAAATCAACAACAGGAAGAAAAATAGAAATTTACAACACCATGAATTTCTCAAGAGGTTTTGATAGTTCAACAGTCCTGAATTGCTGGCGATCCCTCCACTCCAATCACGATGAAATCTCTCCCTAATCCACTGGCTGCTGTAGTCCACCTTAGTGTCTCCGGCTGCCCAGATCTTCACTGCCAATGCTTAGCTGGGGTAGTTGATCAATTTGTTCTGTTCTCCGTCCTCTGCCATGGTACCAGGTGTCCTCTGGAGGCTCCGATGTACTGCCGTATCCTCCATGTACATTGGATATGCTGTCCTCTGCTCCATCTGAGCCTCTGAGGAGGCCCAGCTCTGACACATCCACTCCCACAGTCAGCCCATGGAACCTACAATTCTCTCCATGGTTAGGGTTCTGAGTCCAGCGGCTCAGTTGGTAGGAAATTGCCATAGAAATCTTATCAGAGGCCGTCCCAGACCTGATTCTTGTGTGTGTTTGCCAGTACAGGGTCCGGCACAGTCTATCACCCAAATCAGCCTACGCACACACTGGTAGTTGCAATTGCTGGGTCAGTTCTGTCTCTAGCCCCATGTTTCATGCAAGCCAATGGGTATTGGAGCATAGGATTGCCCAGGTGAACCTTGCGATGGATACTAAGAGGAGAGATGTGCCCTTTGGCCCCGGTTCTGGTCCTGGTTCTGGTGCAGATGCCTGTAGGTGTGTGTAGAGCGAGGGCTTGCCATGAGCTGAGAGGGTTGGTGTGCCCTGGCAGCCCCACTTTGTCAGTAGTGACCAGCCGGGGCTCTGCCTTTGTGCGCTAGGATGGCTAGAACCTGGGACTGCCTGCTGGTTGGGTGTTGGACACTGTTTCCCAGCAGACCATGGGCAAAGCTCCCTGCCCCTGGTGCCCATTCCTCCTGGCCTGCTGCCGTTGGTTGGGAACAGAGCTTCCTCCAGGGACCACCCAAGCTGCTTCCCAGTTTGCTTCCAGCTTCTTTTCCCTCAGATCTGAGAGCGGCCACCCGCTAGGGGGCGTGCGGACCTTGCGGATGGCAGGACTCACCCCTGCGCTCCCAGGCGTCAATTTGCAGGAGGCCCAGCCTCACTCCCTGCTCAACCAGAACAGTCTCAGTGCCCCTCTGAGCCCTGGCCTGGGCCCGGCATTAAGCTTGTCTTCCTGGGCGTTCACTGTACTGCGCTCTCAGCCCCAGGATTGAGCTGTCGTCTTCTTCAGACTTGGCGAGGTAGCAGGGAGTCAGCAGCAGTCACTGATGGAGACAGACACCTGTCTCCTGGGCGTGCAGTGGGAACAGCCTCACAGCCTGGTGGTGCTTGTCCATCTCTGCCCTTGGTCCTTGTCCCTTGTCCCTAGTTATCATCTCTGTCCTTACCTGTCCCTTTTGTCTCTGACGATCTCCATCTGCCTCTGAAGGGCCTCTGTACTCCAGACTGTGGATGGAACAGTGCTCTGTGCTGTGCCACATGCCAGGTTGTGCCTGGTGCCTGCCTGGCATGTGGCAGGAGCTTCATGAGTTACTGCCAGGAGTGGCACAGAGCTCTAGGACCCACTGACATATGCCAGGGAGGTCTGGCTTTCGAGGTCTGTGCTGGGCCTGTTCCTGCCTGCTCCTAGCCGCTTCCCACCATCTGCTTCCTCGTGTGGCGGTGCACACCAGCAAGCTCTGGGCCGCCGCTCCTCCCCTGCTGGCCCGCCTTCCGCAGTGTGTCTGCCTTCCCAGGGCCAGTTCTGTATAGCCTTGCAGACTCTGTGTGGACGTGAGCTTCACCCTGAACCCCTCACTGGGGCCTGGTTACTCACTGCTTCCTCCTGGGCAGAGGCCGCATCTGTTTGGTTTTGTGCCCTTATTCTGTTTTTTTTTTTTTTAATTTTATTTATTAAAGATTTATTTATTTTTATTGCAAAGTCAGAGATATACAGAGAGGAGAAGAGACAGAGAGGAAGATCTGTCCAATGGTTCGCTTCCCAAGTGGCCACAATGGCTGGAGCTGAGCCGATCCGAAGCCAGGAGCCAGGAGCTTCTTCCAGGTCTCCTACATGGGTGTAGAGTCCCAAAGCTTTGGGCCATGCTCGACTGCTTTCCCAGGATGGGATGCGGAGTCGCTGGGGTTAGAGCCAGTGCCCATATGGGATCCCAGTGTATTCAAGGTGAGGACTTTAGCTGTGAGGCTACAGCGCCGGACCCTGTAGTGACCATCTTTGTAGGCATAAGTAAGATCTCTCTGTCGTGTTGATTCTTTTTTAGGTTTTTTTTGTTGTTGTTGTTTATTTTTACTTGAAGCTTGGAGTTATCAAGAGAGAAGGAGCAACAAAGAAGAGAAACCGTTCATCTGCTGGTTCACTCATTCCCCAAATGCCCCTTCACCAGCCAGAGCTAAGCTGATCCAAAACCAGGAGCCAGGAGCTCCTTCTAGGTCTCCCGTGTGGGTACAGGGACCCAAGGACTTGGGCCGTCCTCCACTGCTTTCCAGGCCTTAAGCTGGGAGCTGGATTGGAAGTGGAGCAGCTGGAAGCTGGACCCGGCACTCATGGGATATTGGTGCCGCAGGGAGGATTAGCCTAGTGCCACCATGGTGCCCCTTCTTTTTCTTTCTCTCTCTCTCAAGATTTATTTGTTTGACAAAGTAATAGAAAGAGTGGTGGGGTGGCACTGTGGCTTAATAGGCTAATCCTCTTAGCTTCAAGCACCAACATCCCATATGGGTGTCAGTTTGTGTCTCGGCTGCTCCACTTCCCAATCCAGCTCCCTGCTTAAGGCCTGGAAAGTGGTGGGAGGGTGGCCCAGGTCCTTCGGATCCTGCGCCCATGTGGGAGAACAGAAGAAGCTCCTAGTTTTACATTGGCTTAGCTGTTTAGAACGTGAAACCACAGATGAAAGATCTGTCTGTCCTTTTCTGTAAATCTGCCTTTCCAATAAAAGTAAACTTAAAACAAAAGAAATGAGAGCAGGAGAGCAGAGATCCATTTACTCATTTACTCCCCAAATGGTCACAGTGGCTAGGGACTTTCTGGGCTGACCCCAGGACGCTAGAACTCTGTACAGGTCTCCTGCATGGGTGGTGGTGACCCAAGCACTTGGGCCAGTATCTTCAGACAAAGGTCCTCGACTGCTTTGCAGCTGGGCTGGATTGCGCCCATATGGGACCAAGGCAGGAGCAACTTGGGCCAGTATCTTCTGCTTTTTCACGTTCATTACGGGGAGCTGGATAGGAAGCAGAGTGGGTGGGGTTCGAACTGGGGCTGTGATGTGAGATATGTGTCGCAGGTAGCAGCATAACCCACTGCACCACAACACTAGCCCTGAAGCTTTATTTTGCACTGAATTTTTCGTGGCCAAGTTCGTAAATAAATGGTCCCTGAATGCAGGTTGGGCATGGGCTCTGGCCTAGTTCTTGAGCGTGTACGTTGGTATACACAGTTGCGTGCTTGCACACGTGCACACACAGGGATTATTTTGTGGCATCTCACTCCAGTACGGTTCTGTGCTGCTGCTCTGTGTGCTTTTGTCTCGGCCTCGGCTTGAGTGTGTCAGTAACTGCATATCCATGGCCTCATTTACATACCTTCCTGGTTAACTGATAGGTACAAAAGTCATGTTACCACATGAACCCCTTCAGGCCGGGCCCAGCACAGGACTGGGCATACCCCGTGCAGTGAGCAGCCTGGAGATGGTTGTGGGCCTCAGTTTGCCTGTCTGTGAAGGGGTCGTGGTGACTGTAGCACCTCATGAGGGACTTGGGCAGACCAGGGGAGGTCCCCTGTTTCACAGGCCTGGGGGGTGCGTCGGGGCTTGGGAAAGTGAACCCAAACTATTTTTCCAGATGAGTGGGCAGGAAGGGCCTCCTACCCCTGGCATGAGGAGGAGGATCTGGGCTCTGGGGATGTCTGCTGGTGAGCAGCCAGCCTTATTCTGGGCTGCAGGTGGAGTCAGGCTGACTCTGGCCCCCTGACTTTAATCACCTGCTCTGTCTTCTTCATTTCCAGGACAAGCAGCTGCGTATCTTTGACCCCAGAACCAAGCCCCAGGCCTCTCAGGTGAGTTGTGGGGTGAGATTGGGTTGCTGTAGGGGTGACTCGAAGCTTGTCTCTAACTGAGGACCCAGCGGTTCTAGCAGCTGGGGGGGCTGGCTCAGGTTCATAAGGAAGGCCTGCTGGAGCTCTTGTGAAGCAGTGTGTCCCGGAGCCTGGGAGGGGCTGGCTGTGGTCACAGGGCGGGGTGCAGCCTGGCTGGGCGCTCAGGCTTCAGCAAGGTGATCAGCAGTTCTGGCTTCCCTCCCTCCTTTGCAACCCCACCCCCTCTCGCTTGCTCCCTTCCTGACCCGAGGAGGCCGAAAGAGAGCTCCTTCTGAGCTGTGTTGCCACACAATGCATAGATGGGACTGGAGTGCACACGGCAGGGATGCTGTGTGTTTGAGGCAGCAGATGTCCGGTGGGGGTGGGGCTCATTCTGTCACACACCTAGTAGGCGGCAGCAGAGGAGCCAGCCCCGTGGCCCGCCACAGGCACACAGGTTGTTACTGAGCTGATCTGATGCTTTGCTCAGCACCTGGTCTTGTAGCACAAGCCTGAGTGGTGCCGACGGGGGATGGGGGGTGGTGAGGTGGGGGAGTGGCTAGTTACAGAGTTTAGTGGGGGGATGCCCAGATTTGCTTTTCTAAAGGCACATCTTCAGGGAGATGGAGTTTAAGGTCCAGCCGCCAGCTGTAGGGAAGAGCTCTTCTCCCCCAGTTATGCCCCCTGCCCAGCATCAGCCAGGGGTCCCATGTACAGCCTCACAAACCCACTCATGTAATGAGTTGTGACTTTTTGGTCAGTGGTATCATCGGTTCCACTCCTCCAAACTGGAAAGAGGTCCCATGTGACAGGTGAAACAGCCTGCAGAGTGATTTTGGCTGAACTCTGACCTGGCGTTTGGGTAAAGCCAGCTGACTGCTCTGTCCCACAAAGAGGACAGTGGCTGTTGAGTTGCATGGAGGTGTGGGTGTGGACCCGAGGCCTCTCTCTCCCTGAGTAGCTTGCTTTGAATGATCTACAAGCCGTTGCCAAGAAGAATATTCTAGAATCAACTTGGAAACTGAGCCCTCCCCCCACTGGCAGGGGGTGGGGGGATGGGGCAGGGAAGGGGCAGGGGCCTGAGTTACTGCCCTAGCTGGGCATTGCAGGGGGTGAACACCCAAGTCAGAACCCTCCTCCCCCCCCCCCCCGCCTTTCCCCCCCTCTGCCCCCGCAGGGCTGGGGGTGGAGCTGGCGTGGCTTTCGGCCAAGGGCTGCGAGTTCCTTAAAGAGAACAGCAAAGAGTATCTGCTTCTGGAGGGAACCCCTGCAGGGGCTTTGCCCAGGAGACTTGGGAAGCACGTGGGTGGCTCCCCCCAGCTGCTGGGACCATGCCTGGCGCATTGCGGGGGCAGCAGGCCTGGAATGCTGCCCTTGGTGTGGCCCTGCCCCCCACTTCCTCCCAGGGCATCTGGCCCACACCTGGCTTCTATTAGGAAAACCGCTGCTGGCGGCTTGGGTTGGTGTGAGCTGAGGGGCCAGTCCCGGGAGAGGCCTTGCAGGAGCTGTTCTAGTAATTTCTCCTTCTGGCATGGCCAGGGGCAGGGGTGAGGGAGGATGGGGACTCTGTGGCAACCCTCTGCCCTCACCTGGAGGCTGGTCCTCGGGTCTTCCCCCACTATCTTTATTGAACCCTGTCCCTGGCAACCTGGGTTCAGAACTGGGCTCCTTGGATGGCTCCCTCCTGTTCATGCCCCAGCCTTATTTTTGTTTGTGTCCCAGGGCAACTTCTTTCCACCCTGACCACCATCCAAGGAAAGTGGCCCCTTGGGTCTTTTTGTTGTCCAGACCAGGTCAATAGGGCTCAGAAAGGTCCTGTTGCCACTCCAGGGTCACACAGCAAAGCAGCAGATGCTTGGTCTGACCTCAGAACCCCCGGACCTCTCTGCTGCCCTTGGTTATGCTAGAGGCCGGGGTGGGACAGGCCAGCTCTTGGAGCTGTTGAAGGAAGCAGAAGTCTGAGGCCAGGTTGTGAGTGGTTGTGAGGCCTTGGGTCCTTCGTCAGGGCAGTGGGGGCCTAAGATGAGCCCTCTGATGCATCCCTGTGCCTCCTGACCACCCTGTGTGTCAGGGCCTGGCCAACACCTAGAGCCTTCCCCTCCTCACTGAGCTGGCTGAGGAGGGGAGTCCTCAGCAGGCAAGGAATAGGGGTCTCACCTGTAGGGCAGGTCCCCTAGCTCAATGAAAGAGCCTAGGGCACTCAATCTGCCCTGCCTCTGCCCTGTACCGGAAGCATTGCCATGGTGATGGAGAGATTTGGCTGCAAATGCAGCTGGAATGCTGGTTATTCATCTCCCCCTGTGCCCCTTGGCCACAGCATCTCTTCCCAGGGGGCAAGAATGGAGGGGACTTTGGGTCATCTTGGAGCCCACCTGCAGCCTATCCCATCTTTGCATGGCCTGGCCACCAGTGCCTTCCACCAGGCCTCTTGTGATGGGGTTGGGCTCCAGCACAGCATAGCTCCCCAGCCTCTGTTACCCCATAGAGTCGGGGCAGGAGGACCTGAAGGGAAGGCTCGCTGAGGCCAGCCAAGAGCTGTGCTTTTTGAAACTGGAGGTGGTTCCAGTGGCCTGGGGTTGAGGAGGGAGCAGGAGATATCCTGAGCTGAGTGTGCCCCAGGGTACAGCCTGTCTTCAGGAAGGCTGAGCTGAACACTGCCTCCCTCTGGAGTGTTTGCTGGAAACCCAAGGATGTTCAGGGGGCAGCTGAGGTTCCTGGCACATCCTGGTCCTTCTAGCTGTAACTTTACTTCATGCAGGTCTCCTCCCTGCTGGGCTTCAGGTGCCTGTGAGGCGCTAAGCGGTGATCCTGGCCTGCTCACAGGTGCAGGAGGCTGTGTGACTAGAGGAACAGCCTCCTCTGCAGGCCTCTGGTTCCTCTGTGTGTGACAGGAAATCAGGGGCCCAGGCCACAGTGAGTCTTGTCTCCCACCTCTCTGGACCATCACAACTGCCCCAGTACCTCACACCCTCTACTCCTGTTGTAATTCCTTCACACCAAGTGCAATGTGCCAGACACAGTTCTGAGTTAATGCCAAAACCTTGCAGGAGGTCCTTCCAGACCAGGAAACTGGGGCAACATGGGCAGGGCTGGAGTGTGCGCCTACTTGGCGTGTACAGCTCCCTACCTTCCCTGCCTTGAGAGTCCTTTGTGGCCCCCTGCATGGTGTGTGGTAGCAGAGGTTTCTCCTGGGTCCATACCTGCCTCCTGATACGAATATGCCTGGGGCGCAGGGCCTCTATCCTCTGTGTCCCCAGTGCCCAGGCTGGTAGGTGGCTCTGACATTTGGGCTGTGAAGGCTAGCAGAGTGACCAGTCCTACTTCCCAAGCTACTAGAGCCTTTCAGGACTGGCTGCACAGTCCCTGACTTGTGGAAGGCTCTGTATGTTTGTTGAGTGAATGAATGGATGAGTGGGCTATGAATGACTTAGTTGGAAATCATCAGTTTGCTGCTTCCACAGGGGTATTTGCATGCCAGTGGAAAAGGCCAGAGCCCAATTGACTCTCCTAAGTGCCTCTGGAGTGTTGGGGGGTGGGGCTGGTCAGTGATATGACCCTTATCCTGACCCTACAGTCCCTTTTACATGGAAGGGGTGTAGGACTTAAGTTCTCAGGCTCCAGCCCCCACTTCCTGTGCCGGCCTCAGCTGGGTGGGAAGGGAGCAGTGAGAAAACCCCCTTGAAGGACGCGGTGTGGAGCTTTCCAGCGTCTCCCACGCTGGGGTCTGCCTCCACGGGCTGGGGAGGGGGCCCCGGGCCAGGTCCTTGCTGGCTGCCTCCCTCCCTTGCTCATTCATTCCCAAGGAGATCGTGGGAAGCTTGGAGGAGGCTGGCCACGGTTGGGGTGAGCTATTTTTGGTAATAGGGTCCTTGTCTCAGGCTCCAGGGGCCAGAGTGACTGGGAGGGAGCTGTTTGCATTTCCTCCAGTCCCCCTCGGGTCCCCCCTGCCAGGGCCCAGAGGGACAGGGCTGCTGCCTGCCTGCCATGTGACCAGCACCATTCTCCCTGGGGGCTGCGGGAGGACAGGCACTGCTCTGTCCCCTCTGCCACCTTCCCCAGAGCCCGGCCCCAGGCTCCTGCCCTGGCGGCATCAGGAGGCCCAATAATCCTCATAATCCTGTGATTTGCACGGTGCTTTGCTGCAGCCCCTCTCCTTCCAGACCAGCTCTAGGAAGCCCCATTCACATGTGGGAGGACAAAAATGAGACTTCAATGGGGCCTGAGGTTCCCACAAACACGTAGCTCTGGGTGTGAGAACCAGGATCAGAGATTAAGGGGGATCCCCAGCGGAGCCCCTTACGCAGGCACTTGCAGAGGTATGGAAGAGCAGCCACTGTTAGCCCCATATTAGGGAGCCTGACCGGGCAGCCTTTGGTGGAGCTGAGGCAGGGGTGGAATTCACCTTGGGTATGTGTAAGGTCTCCCTCAGCCTGAGCAACTGTCTATGGGCAGTAGGATTTCCCCAACTCAGACCGCTGGTAAAGGGTCTAATGGATCAAGGCCATCTCTTGTCTCCCATAGAGCACACAGGCCCATGATAGCAGCAGGGACGGCCGACTGGCATGGACAGCTACCCAGGAGCACCTGGTGTCTACTGGATTCAACCAGGTAGGGGCTGCTGCCTGGTGAGCAGGGTATGGCCAGGTGGAGACATGTCCAGCGCTTCCAGCTTCTGCCCTCAAGAGCGCAAGGGGAAGGCCACTGGGAGGCCAGGGCACTGACACCAGTTCCAGCCCTATCCATATACGGCCTGGCTATGCAACCCAGGCTGGGTCTTCAAGCCCCAGGGGACCAACAGCTCCTGAACACTGGCAGATTCCATTTGCAATAGCTAAGCCTGACCCTGGGAACCCTAGTGGCCCTATAGGGAGCAGAGTCCATGGAGGGAACCACCCCGTCCCTTGTCACCTTAGCCTTCTTAAAGCGGCAGTGCATGAAAATCCAAATTCTATTTTGCTTGTGGCCCTGCTTGCTCCATTTTGGGCTGTACCCTCAGGCTGTGGGTTCTAGGGAGCCCCCTGGGAAGGAGAGGGGTGGTTGAGGGACAGACGCTTCTCAGCCTGTTCCTGGTCCTGCCCACAGATGCGTGAGCGTGAAGTGAAGCTTTGGGACACTCGACTTTTCTCCAGTGCCCTGGCCTCCCTCACACTGGACAGCTCACCCAGGTAGGAACCGCAGGCCTTGCTTGGGAGGGCTGAAGGCAAAAGTGCTGTTGGGAAGGCCTGTTGTCCAACCCATCCACAAGTTGAATGGTGCTCAAGCTGGACATTAGGGAAACCAGTCCTGTCCACGAGATCTCCCAACTTCACCAGCAGGGGGTGCTGAGGCATCCTGTGAGTGGGGATAAGCTAAAGTGACCCATCTTGTCCTGTCCAGTCCTGGCTGGCAGAGTGGGCCTCAGTCATAAGGCAGGGTCACAGCCAGGAATTCATGCATTGGGAGGGAGGATGCTGTCTACAGCTGTGTCCTCAAGAATGCACTTAGTGTTGCCGTGGGGTTCGGGGCCCAAGGAAATGAGTGTGATGATGGGCAGGTAGCTGTGGCTGGATGTGGGGTGACACTGGTACACTGGCAGGTTTCAGATGGACTCAACTCACTTGGCACAGCTGTCCCTGGTCTGTCTCCAAATGCGACTGGTATCCATGCACCTGGACCTTCCATCCCTGCCTCCAAAAGTTAAGTAGAGGAGTGGGTAGCAGTGCCCAGGCAGTCCCTGGTGAGGCCGGGTCAGCTCTGAGCACAGCCGGCTTTGGCCTGCTGTGACTCAGGAGGCCTACAACAAGCACCTTTGGGTGGCCAGTCCTCGTGGTTCCACAGCCACCCACGCTGCAGCTGGGAGCACTGAAGCTGTGGGTTGAGGTTGGGTGACTCAACCAGGTGAGGCCTCGGGTGAGGGCAGAGAGCTGATCCTGGTTCTAAAGCCTCAGCTGTGACTCAGGGAGGCCCCTAGGGGTCCCAAGAGCCCAGAATGTGCCCTGGGCCTTGGCTGGCTCTTCTGGCCCCTGCTTTCCTTTCACAGTTGGGAAACCGAGTCATGGGGGCAGAGACCTGGCTGAGTTCCAGCAGCATCAGGGACAGTGAGCATGCCTGCGAGTGGGATGCACACTTCAGGGTCTTCCTGGGACAGTTTGAAAGGGTCCCCACTGAGGACCAGTGACTCAATAAGCCCCTCATTGGGCCCCCAGAGGAGGGAAACTCTGGGGGAGGAACCCTCCTTCCCTTTCTTCCTTTCCTGTCTGGGGTGCAGCTGGGAAGCTAGGGAACAAAGTTTTCTTTTTGTATTTTTTTTTTCAAAAATTTGTTTTTATTGGAAACATGGGTAAGATTTACAGAGAGAGAGAGGCAAAAAGATCTTCCATCTGCTGATTCACTTCCCAGATTGCCACAATGGCTGGAGCTGAGCTGATTCAAAGCCAAGTGCTTTTCCCACACAAGTGTAGGGTCCCAAGATTTTCAGCTGTCCTCTGCTGCTTTTTTTCGGACTATTAGCAGAGAGCTGGATAGGAAGTGGAGCAGCTGGGACACAAACTGGCTCCCGTAAGGATAGTGGCACTTGCAAAGTGAGGATTTAGCCATTAGGCCACTGTGCTGGGCCTGTGAGTGAGGCTTTCATACCAGGCCAGGCCAGGGCTGCTCTTAGCTTCCTGGGGACTCACTGAGAACAGATTAGACCCACTCTTACTCAGAGCAATCACAGCTCCAGCTGCCAGGTTCCACGTCCCAAGCTGCAGCTCTCGCACTGCCCTGGCATCTTCCTGCCTCAGCTAGATACTCTCCGCACCCCCCTCCCAACCTGAGGCCCAACAGAGGCGTTGGTGTGAAGGGACTAGCACCAGCCATCAAGTGCTCTTCCACTCACCGCTTCCTGCCTTCCAGGCTCCACCCTACACGGATCACCCCTGCTTGGTCCCAGTGTGGCTCCTGGAAGAGTGAACGATGCCCAGACCCCATGGTGCCACTGGCCAAAGCTGACCCTGTAATTATAGTAGTTAAGAATAGCCTGGAAGGACCAGTGAGGACTGGAATTTTACAAATCATTCCCAGATGGGCAGCCAGACCAGTGTTCTACCCCCTTATCCAGCCCAGGGCCCTGCCTGGCTAGGCTAGCACCCTTGGCAAAGGAACCGGGCAGGACTTTCCACCCTCCACAAAACTGGTGGGTGCCAAGAATGTGTGACAGCCTCCAGGCTGTTGTGAGAGTGGCAAGTTGCTGTGGAAGTGAGACCATACCCAGAGAGTGGGCAGGATGTCACCTGAAGGCATAGCTGCTGTGTCCACTCTGCCATGTTTGCTGTCACTGGGCTACAGCCTGCCTGTCTTGGGTTGGGTAGAACACTCGGGTGTTCTAGGCTTACACCTCTCCCGGGAGCGTGTGCCATGGTTTCCACTTCTCTTTGGGATGATGAGGATTCAGTCTCCACTGAAGGTCAAGGCACTACCCAGTGGCATAGTGGCAATTTTCTGTGTGCCGGGTGGACTGAGCTGATGGTGAAGGGAACAACAGACACACAGACACATTTGTCTCAGATGCAGGAACAGGAAGGCTGTGACTCCTACACGCCCTGCCAGAAGGCAGCCCCTGGCCATCCAGGGCTGCCACATCCCTCTGTCAGCTCCTGGGCCCTCCTAGCTGGAGACGGTATGAATCAGAGGGGTGTCTTAAGACCTGGCTCTCCATCACCCTCAGCCCTTGGAAGGCCCTTTGCCCACCCTGCTTCCTGCCATCACACCAGGCCAGGTTTGCTTTGCAGCAAAAACATTTACTCAGCAGCCGCCTTGCTCCGCTCGGCAGTAGCCCACAACCCCACAAAGACCCCTTTGATGGAGCTGTGGCGGGGGAGGGCAGGTCTGGCTATGCCGTTCCCCTAATGGGACCCAGGCCTACAGGAAATTCACCTGGGCTGCAGCCTCTGCGTCTTAGGAGGAAGGGGCCCCACCCAGGCCCACTGCTACCACCCACTGCCCGCATGACCTACCACCGCCTCCTCTCTCCATGTGCCAGAGCCCTCCGCAGCCGCTAATTGAATCCAGAGCCTCGCATGGCCGCGCCTGACTCGGCGCTGACATCAACACCCGAGCTGTGGGGCCTGGCCTCCAGGCTTGGGACTGCTTCCTTCCCACTAGGGGTGAGGTTGGAGCCTGGGGCTGTGATGCAGAGGACGTGGGCATGGGGCCTTGCCTGAGTCCCTGGAGTATATGCTGGGGCCCTCTTCAACTCCCTGAAGGCAAAGGTGCTGGGTGTCCATCCCCACCCTGAGCGCCCATCCCTAGTCCAGGCCCCAGCTGCACTTGGCATCCCTGGCTTTGTCTCCCACTCTGCTTGTGGCCTTCTTGAAGACATTCGTGCTTCTGAGGTTTCCAGAAAGCCTGGGTACATCCCTAGTCAAGGGGGTGAAGGAGCATTGTGAGGTCACCAGGCCTGGCACAGTCTGTAAGCCAGACAGCTCTTGGCCCTAGTCCTGAGCCTGCCCCTGATGGATCTGACTTGGCTCCTCTCCCTCCCAATCATGGGTCTTGCTTTTACTGATCCGTGCTTCCCACCCACCAAGGCCCTTTCTCTACTGCTGGGCCTATGAGGTGGGAGCAGGATTTCCTAGTGAGGGGGCAGTGGAAGGCCCCTCATGCCACTCTGGTCAAGCCTTTAAGCCATCGGCACTCCTGCCAGGCCTGATACCCTCCCTGCACCCAGCCTGGACACCTTAGGGATAAGCTAGAAAAACACTGGTTTCATTTTATCTTTTTATTTTTCTTACAAAAGGCCTTCATATCATTGTTTGTCTTACAAAAACCAAAGTCCTTGTCTCTGAGTTTAAAAAAAAAATTCCCAGAATAAATGGGAAAGGATCTCCTATAAATATGTTTTAGAAAACAAAACAACAAAAGCAAAACAAAGTGTTCCTAAAAGCATCTTCCTTTCCAGTTACTTCTGTGCCTTCATTTCCATGGGGCCAATCCGCAGGCCCCAACCCCGGTCCTTACCCTGCTCTCCCTCTGCTCCCTTTCTGGAGGGCTTCCTTCACTGCCCCCAGAGTCTTCATAGGGTAGGGGAGTCTTCATAGCAGGGCCCAGCCTGTGTTACCAGCACACAGCTGAGTATGCCATGTCCCTGGGTTGTGCAGTGCAGGGGAGGTGCAGGCCCCACCCCCTCAGGTACTACAAGGGCTCAAGGGACCCTGGTGCTCCTCTCCCAGGACCCAGCATCTCATGGGTGAGGTCCGGAAAGGCAGGGACTGACTGCGGTCACCAGCTGCACCTGCACCTGTCCCACAGTAGGGACTGAGAATTTGCTTCTCATGGCAGCAGGAAGCACAGGCCTAGAGCCCACCCTGACTACTGCCTCATTCCCAGACTTAGATGTAGGGCTTAGCAGGCAAGGGCCCCTGGGGACTGGGCCCCACGTACCCCATGAGTGGTACTTCACACTCAGGTCCATTGGACAGGGCCTCCCCACTGCCCTCCGTTGCCTTGGGTCCTGGTTCCAAAGGGGTCTTCACCCCCTCAAGCTCCAGGGGCCCAGCCCCTGGCCCTACCTGCCCTTTGCCCTGTGCTGCCACTGCTGCTGACCGGCCCCGCCGCACACAATAGGTCACCCCTATAGTGGCCAGCACAGCCAGGAGCACTGCAGCCAGGGCAGGTGCAATGAGGAGTGGCAGATTGCCTTCCCGGGCCTGCGTAACTGGGGAGTGGTTAGAACGGACAGCCTGGGGCGTGCGGGCCTCCCCGCAGGCCTCCTCACCCTCAGGCACCCGCCCAGCCCCCAACGGTGTGACACAGATGGAATAGGTGGCATTTGGCCGCAGCTGGGTAACTGTGTACTCAGAGAGTGAGGCAGGCAGCCGCAGTGTCACCAGCCGCTTGTCTGGGCCAGACAGGTTGCGGTAGGTAAGACGGAGGCTCCTGAGCTGTACAGGGCTGCCCTGCAGGTAGCGCTGTAGTCCCACCCGCAGGGAGGTGGGGCTCACTGGCTCAATGCCCAGGGGAAGGGGCTGGGGCTGCCTTGGAATGGTTGATGTGGGACTAGGCCACGCACCTTGCCCTGCCCAGCTCTCACAGTACAGGCCTGTAAAGCCCTCTGGACACAGGCACTCCAGGTGGTACTGCGGCCCTAAGCGGCAGGTGCCTCCATTGAGGCAGGTAGATGTTGGGCAGTCCTGGGGCCAGGGTT